CGCTATAGATAAAATCATTATCGCCTAATAAATTGATCGTAATATTAATTTAAAAGCGCGGAAATAAATCTTGATCTCGAATAAAAACGATAAATAATCATTAAATAATGTATTCGTGTAATTTATATCCGCTTTGCACTTGCATAAGTAACTGTCTTGATTTTTATAATTATATATGTCTATAATTATATGCTGTTTTTATCTTGTAATAATGGAAAAAAATACGCGTATAAATAAATCATGGTAAATATAAAAATCATCAGGAAATTAAAAAGAGACTAGACTATAACTAGCTTGATCTTTCGCGGAACTATTACCGTTACAACATACTAATTTTCTCAACACACGAGCAATGCGAAGTCTTTTACAATTAAAGCTCACGTAGTGTTTTTCCGTTCTCATTACGATCTCACGATCTATCGTAATATCTCTATTACGCTTTTGAATACAGCTCCAAACTGGAGCGCAGCGAATCTTCTTTACATCTCCTATTAAAGCAACAAAAATATATAAAAGAAAAAGCGTCCTGTCATCGTCGATAATTGCAGCTTTGTAGCGATTCGGAATAAAACGAACCGCGGAATAACGGCCCGAGGGCGACCGCAAACGCAGCATACGATCAGCGTAGAGATTATTACACGAATATATACGTAACTCTTATTGTGTGACCAACTGCACGTGACGTCATATCCCCCATAGCTCCCATGGGGAGTTACTTGATTTTCCGGCCGTTCTCCGGCCGGCGCGAGTTGAACGGTAATGCGCGCCCAATTTTACGGCGCGGTAATTGACGATTAATGCGTGCGGGCTCCGCTTCTACACATCAAGTGGAAAGCGAAAGGCCAGGCGAACCAGAGCGTAACCTCTCTCGTGAGATCGCGGGCGCGTTTTAAAAAACACGGAAAAAAGGAACGGACAAACGCTACAATCTTTTCCGACCGGCCGCTTATGCCTGCCTCCAGGAAACTCGCAGAATTCCGGACATTTGTCATTATCTCTGTTCGAGATCGTTGGATATTTAAATTTCTTTTAAATCGAAGTTTATATCGAAGTGAAGTAGGTATTTTTATATATATGCGCGATATCGCGCATGTGATTATATACATAATTGATCATGAAGATTATCATAAAAATAATTATTCTTTACGAAGAATATTAATAATTATAATCAGACAAGATATCAGCAGAGGAGTAGAAACGCATAGTTTTTTCTATACACACGAAAAGTATTTTTATTCTCTCCGGTTTTCTCTCATTTAAATCGAAATTTTTAATTTAAATTATATACGCGCGCGCACGCACAACTTTTTACGTCACACATAAAACTAAATTAAATACCATGAAGTTTAATAACTCGAAGCGCAACTTGCGGAAAATGATTGAGTTGGAAGTAAAGTTGAGAGTGTCTTTAAGATTTTTCTCCCGTATTTTTGTAATTTTATAGAGAAATGAAAAAGGAACGCCAAGTGTTGTAATATGTATTTTAACTCTTTACGGTTTATTGTCATTAAGTTTATATCTCTGGAACTCCGAGTATGTTTTAAGTTAACATACTTTGTAGCCTCTCTATTCGAAGGATAATATTAAACGAGATTTAGCTTCACTTTGTGTGCTAAACGATACTACGTCTATTGACGGATAAATATCACAGGCGTCTCTCCCTTTGTTAAAGCGACGTACATAAAGCAAATTTCAATTCATTAATGCTAAAAGGCTGCTCTTGCGCGTCTAGGCTTCTGTCAGTTGGTATAATGCACTTGCACCGTTTGAGCTATATAGCCTGGCATTTCCAGTTAGTGCATTCTGGGAGTATTCATTGATGTATAGAAGCGAGGCGTCTGTGTATTGTAACGTAGCTATTGTAACTCGTCTGTATTGTGGATGAGATAAAGAAGTCGTGAGAAGAAATTGATGGCGATCAAAATCGCCGAAGATTCTTCGCATTCGCATCAAGTTATAACAGTTCTTTTGGAAACAGTAACTCGAACGAGCTTTGAATTGCAAAAGATCATAGAAAGTGCATTCCTGACTCGTTTGGAAATCGATTTTAACGCTACGTCAAGGTCGATGAATCTAGGTAAAAAAATTACCATATAGATGAGAAACTAACTGTTGTAAGATATAAATATCTACTTTGAGAATGGATTGAGGAAATGAAAACAAATATGTATATAAAAAAAAGAATATCGCGTCATCGACTTGTTTCTTGTTTAATTCGATTTGATTTATAATATTTCAAAAATGTGCAACCTAAATAAAATGATAATTCAATTGCAATGGTGTTAAGTAATTTAAATCTCATTCGATTGATTCAAATTACTTAAATTGCATTATTATATTACGAGGCAATCAAGCAAAATATATGCTGTTATAGAAATCAGGAGCAACACAGCAGCAAGTTTGCTCGTATTTCAATCAACTCATAATCAGATTATTCAGAATGGCGGAAAAATTCTTGAGTAATTCTGTCTCGTATAAATCATATTTAACGTGGAATGAAAAATGTGCAATTTTGATCGCCTGTTACGTTAATGTCTTTTACGTATTACTTCACACGTTTATATATCGCATCGTAATAATAACATTGCTGCCGTCGTTTATCCCTATATTTCATCATGTTATTCCAAAGCTAAACGAATAATCTTTTTTCAAGATCGGAAAATCCTTTCTGAGAATCCTTTAGCATTTTATTTGATAATGCAAAATGGGTCGGAATATCGAACATTATTCCCTATGCGTTCTTCACATTCAATCATATAATGGATTGAATTTTAAAAGCGATTGGCAAAACGAAAAACGGGGGACTATTCATTCATACCATGGTACGCCAAGTTTATAACGCTTAATTCTATTCATCATGCCAGCCATGGAATGTATCAACTCCTTTGGGAACCTTGGACAACGACATTTATAATTAATTCATCCGGCTTGAAATTTAAATGCAACCGGGCTCTATCGATTTCTCGTACTGCGGCCATCTCCGGTTGCGAAGATGGCAGCAGCGAACGATGTTATTTGCGAGCAAGCGCAATCCAAGTGTTTTTATTTCATACCTGTAGCACATCCGTCTTCCGGAACCAGGAAGGAAAAATGAACAAAACGCATGTTATGCGGTCATTGTTAGATACAGATTGTTAACAAAAAATTCGAAATATGTACTTGGAAAAGTTTTATCCCCAAAAGGTTGAAAGAGATTGGAATGGATTATTCATCACACAAATGGAATTAAATGATAATTTTAAAGTACAATTTTCGAGGAATAAAGCACGCTATATATGTATGCATTGTACATATAGTCACGAGTTATTCATCATGATAAATGATAATTATCGATGTTTGAGATAGATATTACAAGATAGTGCAGAAAAAACATGATATACATACAAGAGAATACTTAGTAGAAATTTGTAATTACTCGGTACCGTAATTACAAAATACGGCTGCGCGTAATTAGCCGCGTACGTGAAAATTGAACATTTCATGCGATGATTTGTGCGAGACGCGAAAAAAATATCGCGTATACACGCGTAATTTTCATATGCGGCCATATCGAATCGCTTAACACGAGCTTATAATTACGTCGAAATCGATGGCTCCGCCAATTGAATTGCGCGAACCAATTTCTAGGATATCTCTCTCGCGTTATTAACGCGCGGCTATATTAATTATATCGATTAAATGAAATTTCGATCATATAGTTCGAGAGAGCGAGAGCGTTTACGCGAAATGCATCACTAAATATCGCGCACTTTTACTTTTTCCCGCATGAAACGACTTTCTTCTACGTACGACATCAGAGAAAAACCTATGCTAAGAGACGACAATTTGTACACCCCCGATGCTTAACGAATGAAGAAGAGAAAGTGCGTCATTTTTTTTACATTACAAATTTTCCTACGTTCAGCGTTTACCATTTTATATAACGTGGCGTGTTGTTTCTTTCTTTTAAATTAATTTAGAAAATTACGAGAGAATTGCAATTACTTTATCGTTTCATATACAATTTTCAGTTCATTCACTTTGCTCACTCGCCTATCACATTATCCTTGTTACATATATATATATATATATATATACTTGCGAAAGGTTTAATGGCATCATAAGCAGTATCGTAACTGTATCTAAATTTATGTTGCAATTTCATAATCCGATAGCTAAGGCCGTTATGTCCGAACATTTGCGGTAATAATGGGACAGTTAACGATTCACCGTGTTACCCTCATGAATATTAACGTTTACTAACAACTTTGTAACATCCCCCGATATATCCGCGCGAGCGAAATTTTATATCGCACTTTTTCTTTTTTATACCCCGTGCGTGATAAGCCAAACTGTCACCACGGCAAACGAGAAAAAGCCAGGGAAAAGTTACAGTTCAGTCAAGTGACTCGAAATTACAATATCGGGTCTATTATAACTCGCATTACTCATGTTGCTTTGCACAAAAGTGCACAAAAAGTATCACAAAAGATCGTTTCGTGTGTATTATGGCAAATGTCGGTATATAAAAAGAGAAATTCTCTCCCTCTTTCGTGGATTTCGTTATTACCGCGATTTAAAAATGAGAAAACAGCACGGAAACGATCCGGGAGATTATGATAGATGCACGACGCTTTCTATCCTTCCTTTCTCTACGCGATACGTTACACTTTTCTCGTGCTCATGTTTTAACAGTTAATTCACCTTGATACCGGGATGAAGTATGGGGCGCCGGGCGTCCTACTTATATCTCAGGGATATTGATAAGTACTATTTTTTTTCGTATCATTTAACATAATCTGCTCTACGCAGAGAAAGTGTAGTATTTTGCTGTGTGTTTTATAGAAATATATATAGAAATTATTTTCGCTCCAAAAGATCTTTTTTTTTATCATATCTGTTTTGATTAAGTCGGATTTTTAATTCGTACAAATGCGACGTACATTAATTTTAATATTTTAAATAAGACATGGGACTGTTGTCAACAATAAAAGTAATTGTGTATTTTCTCTGTGTTGCAGACTTCACGTATAAATGATCTCATAGTCTGTCACGATGTCGTCGACGCTGTTACTAAATTGTAAGTATATTTTGCGATAAATTCGCACGACTTTCTGCGTGGAAATGATACGTGTGTAAAAATTTTAATTTATATTATTCAAATGATAATAGGTGTTTTAATGACATGGCTGTTCGTCGCCATAGGAGCGATCACCGTATCAATAGATCGCGCTGATATTAAAGCGGTAAGTATAATTAATATTTAAAAAATTTCTCTACACTAAAAACAAATTATTAAATTAATAAATATTTATTTCAATAATGCCTTATAAATCATTTATTTGAAACAAATAAATATTTATCTGTTTTAAAAAGAATTTTCTTATATCAAGTATTTTTGCACATCAAATCAATATTATTAGTTTCAAATATATGATTTATAAGATAGTGTATTGAAATAAATATTTATTTATTTAATAAATTGCTTTTAATGTAAATAATCTCTGTTATACATTATTATCATTAATTGTTAACATCACATTACCTTTCTATTATCAGTGTAGTTAATATTTTAAATATCAGAGAAAGTTGTGTGACAATGTCTTCTTTTTGAAATTCTTTCTGATAAAAAATTGTCTCTAATAAATTCACAGAGAATCGTATATAAATTATAACTGGTAGTTTCTCTCGCGCATTTAATATTTTATTGGCGCCTTTTTATTACCGTATAAGTAATCACGAGTCAGTAAAATCTCTCAGTCTTGTGATTTTAATAACGTTTTATGCGACTCGACAGCCGGAAACGCATGACAATTTCTTTACTGCCTCGGAAGCAAAATACTAGAAGAAGTTGGCTGAAAGATATTTTCGCCATCTAAAAGCTATTGACTTTACTTCACGTGTAATACAATACGCGCGCCTGTCTGTCCACATTCGCCAGAAAAGAGTGACATTCCGACACTTTAGATTTTAATTTCACGCTATTAGAATTCTCGACACGCACGAGAATCAAATTCCCGCGTTTATCACGGCACGTAGTTGAGGTAGAATAAACTGGACTTAGGAAAGTAATTTGGGAACAATATGTTCTCAAGGCCTCGCACTTATTTTCTGACTACACCGGCCGCAGCTCGCCGCCAAAGGCGAGAAATAATGGTCTCACTTACGATTTTCTCGAACATCCGCGTCGGTGAAACTGGAACAGGAACCATTCCATTAACCTCTTCAGGAAGTTCGAGTATCGCATTACTATAGCTGTCCTCGCTTTAAACGCGAACGAAAGTTGTGTTTGATGCACCGTATAGGGAATGTACACGAGAGCTTCATGGTAAGGTATACATATAACAAGTTCCTCGACTACAATCTACTGCTCTAATGGATCAAAACAATTCTTGGAAAAATAGGTAAAAAAAGTGTGAAAGAGAGTTAATTAGAAAAAAAATTTGTTTAATATAGGATGTTGAAAATATATTATTTTAAAGTCCGAGAGAGGCAAGAATTGAATTATTTCCGAACTTAATAATTTCGCGAGACTGAAATTTAGTCTTAAAAGAAAATGTAAAATTTTCGTCTCAAGATACATAAAATTCGAGTCTCTGATTTCTAGCCCCCAACACGATCGTCGATGATCGCAAACGGCTGGCGGCCGCTGACGAATTCCTATGAGGAGACGATCGGCACCAACGTGTCGCCGTCCAGCCACCTGGAGAAGAACGTCCAGGTGCATCCAGTGCTGAGCAAATTTCAAGAGCACATGGCTACCTCGGAGAAACTGAAGCCTCTGCGAAAGGGCAAACCGCCGATTCACGAATACAGCCCGCCCAGTATCCTCGGCAGTTTCGCGGTCTTCGGACACGCGGCGACGAAGGCGCGTGGCGAGACCAAGACGTCGAGCAAGCACGGGGCTTCCGAGACCCGGGAGTACACGTTCCTGATCCCGCCGCCCAAGGACGCGTATCGCTTCGAGGTGAGCCAGCACCGCAAGCCGATACTGCGCGACAGCGTCAACTACATACGACAACCGCAGTACATCACGGGGCAGAATGTTCATCAGCAACCACCGGATCCCGTGCGAGCCGCGACCTACTTCATCAAGACTTACGCGTCCACCACGAATCCGTCCACGCACGCCGCGAACCACCCCAGCAATCGTCCTTACATCCCGCCCTACGCCATGCCGCAGGCGTTGCAACCCCCACGTCATCAGGCGAAGCCGTTCGAGTCCCTGAAAGTCAGCAGCAACGCGAAACCCTATTTCCAGCCGCCTGGCGCAGAGACTCCGACTGACTTCGGCAAACAAAAAATCAGCAACGAACGCGATTCCTACGACAGATATCAACAGGCGCAATCGCACAGCGCGCAGATCTTGAACGTCGCGAGCAGCGGGAACTTCTACAGCCAAGTGAATCACGCCCCGAACAGTCAAGTCAACTTCAAGTCACCCTCGTTCGAGAGGGACCCCGCTTTCTTGGTACACGAGAGTCACGAGGTCAGCTACGTGACGTCTCCTGGTACGTACAACGCGTACAATTTCCGGCCCTCGCTTCCATACGAAACTTTATTGCCGCCCGCGGTTTACGCGTCTTCGACGCCGTCGTCCACCACCGCGGTTACGCGAAATCCCGGGAAATATAGTCAGGCAGCGGTGGAAATATCTCGCGAGAACGATTACAAACGTCCGGATCAGAGGACGAAGCAGGAGAAACTCGGCGGACAGACCGAGTCACCTAATTCCCGAACGACCAATACTTATTATGTATCGGAGCAGCAGGATCTGACGCCGCCTACGTGGCCGAAAAGCAAATACACGTCCGATATAAACGAAGTTCTTCCGCGGGAGAATCCGCCGGGCAAATTCAACCAAGAGGTTGGGAACCAGAATCAGATCACGCAGGTGCCAAAGCTCTATCATAGACCACAAAGCTCCTACAATCCTGTCGAGGTTTACTCGCCGACGTCGATACCGGATTACGAGACACCCGAGAGCATCTCTCTCAAGCACTTTAATGAGCAACAGTTTCTGCTGCAGCAACAGTTGTTGCAGCGCGATCGGGAGAGACTGGCGGAACAGGAGCGCCAGCAGAAGCTGGAGATCGAGCGGCAGCAGCAAGAAGAGTTGAAAAAACGCCAGGAAGAGCTGGATCAGCTTATAGAGCGGGAGAAGGAGGAGGAACAGGCGACCAGACTGGCCGTGGAGTCTGTGAAAAATCAATCGCAAGAGATTGCCAAGATCTCGCCAGAAATGCCGTACACGATTCAACTGGCTCAATTCGAACCGCAAGTTACCACGGACGTCAATATCTTGGTATCGCAGCCCGGTATTTATAATGTCGAACAGCTGAGATTGCAGCCTCAGGTAAATTCTCACTTTTTATCATTTAACACTTTGCGCCCGAGATTGAATATTAAAGCGGTATTAGTCCAAGATTATTATACGATCAATAATCAATTAGTTGGAAAATATTCTCTTCTAGCAAAATAATTTTACATTTTGCTTTAGGATAAATTATTTTATCAAAAAGGATCAATAGGATCAATTATTTTATTAAAAATTGACTCTGTCTTTCGAGTATCATAAATTCTATAAATTGTTGCTAATAATAATTTGTAAAATTTATTATAATTAAAGGGCAATGTCAAAATATTGTAAATTGTTATAAATTATAATATAGCTCTTCTAGCAAAATAATTTAACCTCTTGCTTTACGATAAATAAATAAGTCTATTAAAAATTGACTCTGACTTTCGATTATCATAAATTCTATAAATTGTTATTAATAATAATTTGTAAAATATTGCAAATTATTATAAATTATAATATAGCTCTTCTAGCAAAATCATTTAACCTCTTGCTTTACGATAAATAAATAAGTCTATTAAAAATTGACTCTGACTTTCGATCATCATAAATTCTATAAACTGTTATTAATATTAATAATGTGTGAAATTTATTATAAATAAAGTACAATGTCAAAATATAAATTATTCACGAGATAAAAGAATAACAGATTCTAAAAATACATTGTTATTACAGATATCGCAAATCCCGGAGAAGCAAGTAAATCATAATTATCAATATCACCACAACCAGAATGAGTATCAAGAGGAACAAGTCGATTATCGCGAACCTCAAATCGAAACGAGACCGTATCGCCCGCAGAAGCCGTTCCGGGATCCGCTTCGCCGCAAGAAACCAACGCCCGAAACCACACCGACGGATCCACCGAGTCAATCGCCCGAGACCTCCGCTCCCTTAACTCTCCACGTAGATGAAGTGCCCATTTATACAACGCAGTCGCCGGAAGCGCAGACTCCGTCGGGATTAACAACCCTGAAACCGTTCAGGACTCGTCGTCCTGGGGTCCCGATTCGACGAAGGAAACCCTGGACGACGACGGAGGAACCCGTCACGACGCCCTACATGGAAGAAGAATTCCTCAAGTACAACAAAGAGGAGACGCACAGTCAGTACGATTCTTCGCGAAGAAGACCTTCGCGAATAAAAGCCACCCAAGCGAGCCAGAACGAGGACTCGGAGAAGAGAGGCAACGTCAGAAAACGACCCACTTACCGAACCAGGGTGAACGACGACGCCTTCGACGCGCAGATCGTCACGGAGAGCGCGCTGAATTCTTACAGTCAGACGACGGAGTCCGCGAGTTACGATAACAACCAGTTTGCGACGAATCAGCCGAGCATTTCATACGTGACAAGTCAGCCGGCTAATCAATATTATGATTACTCTTCGCAGCAGAACGCGGGATTGCGCGAGGAGCACAACGAGGACACAACCCTGCCGGTTCAGGAATATTTCACGGAGATCAGCCGCGAGAAGGTCGAGGATTACAGCGTCGATCGTGAGAAAAACGTCAACGTCGTCACTAGCATCCCATTGGAGGATCTCTACGTGAGAACCGACGGTAATTACTACGATCGCGCGACCACGATCGAGTCGACAATTACGACGACGCCGTCGCCGACGACGACGACGACTACCGCGCCTCCGCAGCCGACGACCCAGACTCTTCAGATCGTCCCTTCCACGCTGAGGTCGCACAAGATGCGGCCCTTGAGATACGGCAACGCTACCAGACCGCGCTTCAGCATCAAGGATTACAAGAGCCGCATGGATTACAAGAACCGATTGTCTTCCACGACCGAAGTCGCGCCGACACCCACCGGCGAAGCTTTGACCCGGGTCTCTCACATCAAGCAGAGAACGTCGAGCGCGAAGAATCAACAGGCTCAACAGCCGTTGACAGGTGACGTGAGAGAGACGACTGGTAGATACAAGTACGTTTCTAGGGTGAATTATCGAACTACGACTACGCCGAGTCCAGGAACCGCGAGAGAGTTGGAGCGATTCTCGGAGGAAACCTCGACCACGGAAAAGAACAAGTTTGTGCCAAAGAGACGGCCGATCAGCAGCAACGTGTATCGCAGCAGGATCGCGTCCACCACGAGCAGTCCTACCCGATCGCAAATCAACGCGGAGACGAATGCCAGGCAAAGTTCCACGCGACCCGAGAACGTGTATTCCTCGTCGATTCGCAAACGACCCGCTGTGAAGAGCAGACTGCAACCGCATAAGGAGCACGTGGTGGCCACGGCGTATCCGGATAGCAAGCAGCACGAGGAACCTACGGAGATGTCGGCCGAGGAGACTAGTTTTTACTCGGCCATGACAACCGCTGCCTCGTCCTCGACCACTCGACTCGTGGGCAACGAGATTGTCAGCGAGAAGCGAGAGGCCGCGTCTCTCGACAGCCATCCGGCGAAACTCGGCGTGCAGGAGGGCAAGAACGAGGGCCAGCGAGTTAGTTTCGAGGAGATCGTTTCGCGGAACGAGGAAGTGACGGCGACCACCGACGGCGACGGCCAGCCGGAGCAGACGAGGGTCGAGAAGCCGGAAGTCGATACGTCGGAGGGAGAGTCGGAGACCACGACCAAGTTCGATCTGCCCTCCGACGAGGAGGAACTGTTCGCGAAGGCGTCGCAGAGCGTGGCGGATCTGACGAGCTCCGCGTCCGCTCTTTACGACAAACCGGGAATGTTCAAGGCGGTCTCGCCCGAGAGCAGACTGGTCTCGTCCCACTTCAAGATCACCACGGACGAACCGACGTTGCCCATCGAGGCCTTCTTTCAGGAATTCTCCAAGAAGAACTGATGAAATGATCTCGTCGTAGACTCGCAAACTCTGTTCTCCGAATTATATAATATGCGATCGATAACTCCAGAATCGACGGAGAATTTGCGAGTTTTTCAGAGATGCGATATTTTTTCGGTAATATATAGAAACTTTGCGGGAAAATTTATATTTCAAAAGAGAATGTAGAACGTCGGGGGAAAGGCTACAATTTTTCTCAAAGTATTATGTTACTTGCGAAGTCTCTAGACGCGCGGAAAGGCGTTTTCGAGAGACTCATTTAGAGAAGAAGGGAAGAACTCACGCACACATGTACTTATTTCCGTTTCTAAAGTATTGTCATTGCACCGCATTTCCGTCGTGAAAAATTAATACACTCGTGGCATTTCTACACACGCGATCATCACATTTCGAGTGTACTTCCCCGAATGGATATGATTTTTTTTAACGACTAAACGTTATACCAAAAATGTTAAGTCCGCGAAGAAGCGCCGCTGCACGACGATATTCCCGGAGGAAAGCAGTCGCGCTTTTTCTCGACAGGACATTGCGTGCGCAATATCTGTAAAGAGGCAAAAACCATTCGACCTACTCACGTCCTGCGGTAATATCCCTCGTATATGTACGTCCCTTTTTGTACCTTTTTATCGTAGATTATTCATAAAGGAAGAAACACTTTAAGGGCACATTTTTCGCTCTTAACGATTAGAGAGATTAAATACAATGTAACAATGTAATAATTATGATATCTTATTAGTTGTAATCGCGAATCGCATATCTCATTGTATTTATTTAAAGCGTGCGGGATCATTATCTAAATCATTTTTTTCCTTGTCTCACTTTCTGCGACGTCGAGATGAGAAAACTAACAAACGTTAAGAGATATGATTGTAAATATAAATACGTAGCGTAGAAAGTTTCAGTACTATTTTTCCTGGGCGAAAGATATCTTTAAAACTTTTATATCGTATATATATAAAGAAAAATGTTTTATAATATAAGATCATTGCAGCAAATATAAATACAGTAATCCAGATATATATATTTTGCTTTGCACTTTAAATTCTATAAAAGATTTATATGTTTTCAACGACAGAGATCATTTTGATAGAAATTATTACATTTCGAATTATTACAAGCAAAGTAAAAATTTTTTAATAAGATAATACTGCCCAGTATGTTTTATTTATAAGTATCGTACGCCGGTGTAGCTTAATATTTTTATATATTATTAATATTAATTTTAATTAAAATTTAAAAAATCCATGATATATTGTTCTATCTGTTTGGATGATACGACGTTATCAACTAATTAGTAAAAAATCGGCTTATAAAAGTCTAATCCTTATACAAACAAATCTTCTTTTATAAAAAAATATGACTAAAATCATATTTTATACATATTAATGCGAATATAGAAAAAGTACGCATTTAATAATCGATATTTTCGTTGTTTTTATATTATTTATGTATTCGAGATAATCATTTTGTACTGTAAATAAATGCATCGGATTCAACAAAATGCAACGAGGATATAAAACAAAAATAATAAAAAGGCACCCTGAAACACTAATTACGTGGCTTGCTAATTGGAGAGTAAGGAACGTTTTAAATTACGAAGGATCGCAAGAGCACATTAATAAAACAGAGAAATGTCATTCGAAATATCGTAATCATCATTTGATTTAATAATTCGTTTAATAGCGTTCAACCCTATATTTAAGTTATGGTAAATGGTTACATATACGTATAATTGTGAACAAGTAAAATACTATTTCGGAAATATTTTCTTTTACGACGCAAGAGTATAATATTTCGTAAAGTACAGCGATCTCTTTGAGAAGATATTAAAGTGACAAGGATGTCGTAATTACAAGGAGTGTGTAATTTAAGTAAGTATTTCTTAAATTTCGCATAACAAACATTCGTTTATCCCAATCCCAAAATCAAAAATTTTATACTAAAAAAGCAATTGGATTTTAATTGTAAGAGATATTGAGAAAAAATTATTGTACAGTATAATTTGCACAATCTCTTTTATATGACGTATATATAACGTATATTCGAGATGAGAAGGATAATAAACTCTAACATACAATGTATACGATCTTGCATAATTTCAGATTAATTAACGGACGAGATAGTATTTTACCCGTCCCGATATATGTTCTTAATATTAGATGTAACTCTCTTGATATTCTAAACTCGAGTTACATCTCTCCCACAGCCGATTACATACGTATAGGCCTACGGATATTAATTCGAACGTACCTAATTTAGAATTATGCACAGGCCATACATTTCACATTTATATGTAATGACTATACGCGTACTCTTACATTACACGTACATATATGTATATATGTATGTGTATATACCTACTATATATTTATATATATATTTATGCCGCTTGGCTGAAGTTTTGTGTATATCGTAAAACTCCATGTATATAATTGACAGTTAAAGTGTTTTACAGTAACTTCGAGGTACAGTTCGCGGTATATACAACAGTATCAAACTATAAGACGAAATAGGCACACGCACACTAAAATATATATATGTATATATACATATGTATATGTACACTACCTGCTGCAGCTGCCGAATGAGCAAAAAACATGGACGTCGCGGCTAATTTTCGTACGCATATCGATAATATATCGCATGTGCCAAGCTAAGTGTTCGCATTATTCAACATTATTCAAAGGAAATGATATTGACCAAACAGAACGGTGAAGTTTAATATTCGAGAGATATGTGTATATCGTGAAATAATTTATTTACGTTCCAAAAATTCTTGTATAGATATTTTTGTTATTCCTCATTTTAAATGAGATGATGACACGAAATTCATAATTTGTAAAATATTAATGTTCTTTGAGAAATTATTATCTGACGCTATATAAAAAAGTTATTCGTTATAATTATTTTACACAGTATATGCACGCAATGACTACATAGTTTTTAGAGATGCAGAGTTGCTATGTCATACATTTTTAATCTATGTTCTCTCAGAGTGATGATTTTAACAGAAAAATATACGTATATAATCGCGAGCAAAAATTGAAACGTATATAAAAGCACTTATTTATTTATGGTAGAGATATAGAATAATAATCATTTTAAAAGTTTCGTTCATATCGTTTTTCTACCTGCGTCTCTCCCATCGTGGGTCTCCGGGAAGAACCATTAATATTCTAAAAGGCGGAAAGACAAAAGTGAACCAAGCCAACGTGTGAAACGCGAAACTTAAAGGCACCTTTATGTGCGCTCAAAAGATTAATTATTACAACCAGAATAATGAAACTTTTACATAAAAGTGTAGATAAGTTGGTCATTTCGAAAACAAAAAATTACAGTTCTTATGTTTAATTATCTTTTTTTTTTTTTTAATCGAAGAACGATTTATCAAACTGGCCTCGCTAAATGTTGCTCTAAAAATTTTAATACCTCGCTTTGTTTCCGCGGCATATAGAAAAATGAAATGAAATGAATTTTGTTGATTAAAGAATGTAAATTTTATTTTTCCCAATATTTGGTTTCAGTGGATCGCCGCGGTACACAATTGTCTACGGAATATAGTTTATTCCAATTGTCTCGTATACAATTTCTCCAATGTAATTATTACATTTTCTCGCGGAGGAAATGTTAAATACCATATATTTATATGTTTTCAACTAAACTGGACGTTTAGTTTTACTTACCATCGATAGTACATATCGACGATAATATGAATGATTGTTTCACTTTCGTGAAGCTGCAATTTTAAAGAAGAATAACAGTGGCTTAACCAGATGATTACTATTTATGTAAGAAGCAACAAGCGTATATATATGATCGCACGATGCACATCTTCTATCCCGGAATTAGAGGAAAAATTTGAGAACAAAATATGCATAACTAATTCTAATAGCGCATTCAGTCTATCTAGTATCTTGGATCGTCTAATTGTAAGTCGAAATGTTTACGCGATGCGGTTATGCCACTGTGTACACACACGCATCGTTCGTATTTTAGTAAAAATATAAAAAAGGTAGCATCTTATATGTGTGTATGTGTGTGAGAATAAAAATGTTAGTTTAAAACGTACTAGAAAAGGAAGTTGCAGTGCCTCGTGTGTATATAAATACGCATATATGTATATATATATATATATATATGTATATATGTATATGATTTATGGAAATATTTCGTACGATAATTCTTTTAGACAGTGGTACGTGTTATATGTATATAGCTCAAGCTGATATCGATATTTCCCTATCTATTCGCCTATTAGCGATTAACCGATCGGCCTGTCCGATCGCGATAAATTTTCCATTTAAACGAATGCATTAATCTTTGTTATCCCAAGATGAGACTTGCAAGTCATGACAATTATAATTTGCACATGCTGCAATAGCAATACATTTCTCCGATTGAAGCAAAAGACGGCAATGTCTTACAAACAGACGAGTATAATGAAATAATATATATATATATATATATATATATATATATATATAATATATATATATTATATTATATATGTATTATACGTATAGAACTTTTTATATACACGTAGTAATATAGTGTGTAATATAGAGAATATATATTTAAATCTAACACATTAAATTTCAAATGATATGAGTGCTGATGTACACTCCTATATCAGTAATAAAATAAAATAGGAGAATATACATCTCTCTTCTCTCGTAAAAGAAAAGCGTAAAAATATTTAAATTTATAAAATTTTCATATTTAACAATTATTTATAATAAGTTTTTATTTCACAGATTTAGAATATATGCATATCTAATATCTCCAAATTAGTTAAAATTTTAGATTCTTAATGATATAACATTTCTCAAATTAACATTAAAATTTGTCATACTTAATAATCCTTAATTTCTCTCATATATATCTACTTTGCTAATATGCCATAAATTTTAATAACATTTTTAAGGGTGTCATTGTATATATTTCGAACATTGTATACTTGTGACACATATGTATATGTACATTTCCATTTGATATTTCGAGTATTTCGTCAATTTTCACAAATATACCTGCTATAATGCAATAATACGTCGATCAGTGCTACCCACATCGAGGCGAATTTTTCGCCTCGATAACCACCACTTTTCTGTGGCCGCTTCAATCGTGGAAATGGCTTTTTGCGAAAGCGAGCAACGAAGAGCGATCGGTCGGCCGATTGGTCAACGCGATGTACTTATAACACTTTCAAGCGGGTCTTCCCTATGCTACGACCCCTTTTTAGAATTTCCATATGTGGCTTTGAGACGTTGGTCCACTTAGTTTAGTACGTTATTATCACTTTTTATTAATGTACGATGCGGACGCACACGAGGGGACTGAAGTCTAGAATAACATCGATCTCTCGCCGCGATCGCAAATGGGATGATTGGTTGGGAATCGGAAATTGATATTAATTCCGGACGGTGGTATTATTATCCTTTCATGGTCGTATCGCGAAACTTTTAATCGCATCAGCACAAAATACGATATATAATCCGAGACATTAATCGTATTAAGCGCAAACATTTTTCGATTCAAGCGAGAGCATTGTTTAATAACTGGGTATCTCGTTGCTTAAGCCAATAAATCATAAATATACGTGCATACGCGAATATTTAAAATTATTTATATTCAATTTTGATATATGTATAAAAAAAAATTCAGTTATTCTAAAAACTCTTCGTTGATGAAAAAATCATGGATTCATATTACACTTTCGATACAGTTTAATATTTCAAAATAAAAGATGCATTGCTATCCTAATTTCTTTGAAAATCGTTTCTGTTAATTTATTAATTAATTCAATTACGGATGAGCAAAGTAAAATAACTAATCAATCACAGACCGAGAGACATCGAATTTCCGATCCCAGTTGATGGATGATATCGTAACGCGAGTCGTATTTCTCAGCGAGTATCGCCGTCGATAGCGTTTCATTGTTCCCGCTTGAAATGAATTCATCGCTCCTTAACTTCATGCCAGAAATGTCGGAAGTTCGTTAATTACGCCGATCTCGAGGAGGACGACCAACGGTATATAACCGGTCGACGTCATCCTTCTTACGTCGCCGGATCTCACTCAGTCGTCCGAGCGACGCCTTTGTGCCAGAACGTTGCACAGGACGTCATTAACGA